GGATGGGTGAAACAGGTGATCAAGTTAGCATTGTCACAAAATGAGTACTATAACTACTACTTACAGTATAAAGAAATCTGATAAAGAGTAAAACCCACCAACATGAACGAATTACTTAAGAATTCTCCGGTTTCTTGTCGTTCAGAATGATCCTTCATCGACTGCGCCAAAATTTTTATATGTTATATTCGGTTCGTTCTTTATTTTTGTAAGTAATGAACAAGCACTTAAAACTATCACAAAACTAATATTAATAAACAAGAACTTATTACAGCTAGACTAAAAATCAAATGAACCAACGCCAAGCTGTGTAGCTTGCCTATATTACTTTGGTCTTTCGTCAGTCAACTGTTTCGAACGAGCAACAATGGGAACTAGCAAACACTTGCAAATAAAATAAAAGAAGGAGTCTTTAGAAGCTTCGCTTCTAAAGAAGAACAATTCGAGTTCGTCGCCAGTCTTTTGTTTATAAAAATTTGAAAATGTGAATATTGAGTACGGGATCATAACAATATATATATATCGTTAATTACTTTTTACATAAATTGACATGAATAAATAATAATAATAATAATATGATGATGATAAAATGGCAAAGAGAGAAAAAAGAGACAAAAATTATTAAAAGAATAATTTTTCAAATTGAAATAAACGTGAGCGACAATTCAATTTAAAATTAAAAATGAATAAATTATTTTTATTTGTTTTTCTTTCAGATTTTAAAATGAATTTTATTGTAATGAGAAAATGCATATTAGTTAAGATCAATTTACGAGTCTCATTTTAATAATAAATAACGACAATTTTTTTATTTTCCTTTGGCTAAGTGCAAAATGTTTCCACTATTGCCGTCGTAAATCGCCATTTTATTGTTAAAATTAAAAAAAAAAATTAAAAGAAATTGATTGACACGATGATGATGATGATGATGAAAGAACCATCATCACTTTTCAATCTTCCTTATTCTCATCTCTCTCTCTCTTTTTTCCTACTCGTCGAGATGTTTTATTATTATTTTAAAAAAATGTTATTTCGATGCGTGTTTTGTGTGCGTTTAAAAAAAATAAATAAGAATATAATCGAATAATCGGAAACGGAAACGGTTAAAAAAAACAAACAAACAAACCAACGACGGTTGTTAACCCAAAAAATCTCGTAAGTTATTAGTATTTTCAAAAAAATAACCCTTTGCTACGTCACACCTTTTGATTGCGTGACGTCATTCAAGTTTTCTTTTTAATTGATTAAAATATCCGCTAGAGGGTATTTCAACTCCCACGAAAAAAAGAAAAATCTGAGAGAAATTTTGAAAAAATTGATTTTATTAAAACTTAGGAAAATCGGAGAAAATTTTCGGGGAAGAAGAAAAATAATTAGAATGAGAAAACGTTATTGGAAAGGTTTATGTTGTACGTCAACTGTTATGATAATAATAATAATAAATAAAGAGAATTATAAATGTCGGTCATTTTTTTAAAAATTTTATTTGGTCAAATTGATAGAAAAATTATAATGATAATGATATTGATTGATAAAATTATTTATGAAGAGAAGAGGGGGAAGAGGGGAAGAGGAAAGAAAAAATGTCTTATTTTTAATTTGTTTCGACTCAAATCATCTGCTGCCACGTCGAGTAAAAATAATAATTTAAGTGTGATATTTTCTATCTCAGCGGGACTTTTTTTTTTTTTTTTGAAAAATCATTTTTTTCGTTCGTTCGCGTATGAAAAACTAAAAAAAATTTTCTGTTTCTAATGACACTTTTACTTTTATTTTTTCTTTCTATAATATAATGACACGCCAAAAAAAAAAAATTATTTTTTTTTCAATTTCCTTCCTTTTTACCATCCCACGATAATTTTAATTGATTTTAAATTATTTCATTTAAAAAAAAAAAACTACCGAATATTACTAGTGACACGTTTTTTTTTCGTATTGAGAATCAAAAAAAATAATAATAATGAATGGATTTTTTTTCATCTCCCAGAGTGGCTTTTAATTACTACTCGAATTAAAAAAAAAAAAAAGTATTGACAAAAAAATTTTAAAAATCAATTTAATAAAGGCTAACACCACATTTTTTTTTAATAATAATATTAATAATTACGTAATTAAAATTAAAAGGAAATTAAAAAAAAAAAATTTAGTTAATAAAAAAAAACATTGAAGAAACAAAACAAAACAAAATTTTAAAAAAAATAAAAAAGTCGTGGAAGAAGAAATTAAAATTGTCAACCGTTTTTTATAATCTCGTTTTTTTTTTGTTGTCTTGTTCCACACTTAACATTGACCGGTATACTTATAAATATTGATGGTATGACGATACTTTTGTATACCCTCGAGTTAGTCGTACATCATTAAATCAATTTTAAATACCTTAAAACCACGACGATAAAACAGGTTCGAGAAGTTTTTAAAAAAAAAACGCAACAAAACAACACCTTCGAACAACAAAAAAAAAATGCGGTTGTTTCGATAATCAAATTGTTTTGAATAACCTAAAATTAAATTTTTTTACCCGTTTGTTTGTTTGTTTGTGTTGCCGATTCGTTTGCTGGTTTGTTTGTTTTACTCAAAGTATTGATTACGAAATATAAAAAAGAAATATTAAATCTATATTACAGGTACGAACTTTTTCAAAGGTTTGCAATCGGGATAGAAAAAGAGAGAGAAAGAAGAAGAAAGAGAGAGAGAGATAAAACGCAAAAGACGATGAAGAGACGAGGAACCGGAATTAATAATAATAATAATAATCGAACGGCGGAAGTGCAGGTGTGGCGTGTGTGTGTGTGTGTGTGTGTGCCTGGTGGTGGTGGTGGTGGTGTCCAGGTATGTGCTTTCGGGTATTTCAGGCGCCTGCAGGTGGTTTTTTTTTTTGGTAAAATTGTGGTTAGCCTTTTGGTTCTACAAATTAACAGTCTCTGGATTAATTCATTCAAACACGCAAACTCGTTAAATTATTGAAGCCTTTTTTGTGTTTGTCTGTCTGTGTTTGTTTGTCTGTTTGTCGGATATCATCAATCTGCAGTTGGTTTTGATGTCTGTAAGAAAAGGCTTGTGAGCCATCGCACTCGTCAATCACTTTAAAAAGTCGATTCTGATGATGATGAATGAAACAAATCCGAAAACGAACTTTTAAATAGGTTGCACGCATACGCACACACACGCACACGCGTACCAAAATAATAATAAAAAAAAAATTTTTTCCCATTAATTACACCCAAGTACCTGAAACGCGCTAACAAAAGTGTCACGAACTCTTATCGGGTTAAATGATAACAAAAAAAAATTTATGTCAACGATAGATGAATATAATCATCATCATCATCATTTCATCGCAAATAATGAAAATAAATAAATAATAATAATAATTCGACGACGTGTAAATAGAATAAATTGAATTTTTGCATGACAGTACGACGATTTGGGTCGTCAAATCGATTAAAATTAAATTTACAAAAAAAAAAAATTCGACGTTCGGTACTTTTTTTTTTACAGCCTGTTTAATTTTAATAAAAAAAAAATTAGGTTGGCAACATTGATTAATCATCGATTTCAAGGCCGATCAGGGAAATTTTTTTTTTTTATTAGTACAAAAGGAAAAGGAAGTCGTGAAAAAAAAACGTTAGGGAAACGCGGATA